GATCAGGGACAGTGATGTCAGGGATCAGGGACATTGATTAAATGTGTTGTTTAGAATATTGCTTTCTCTTAGTTGGCCAAATACGCAGGTCGTCACAGAGACAAGCAGACTTGTTCCAGATGCCTTCCAAAAATGGAGATAGTCAATCGACTAACGAAGTTGTACGCAAGTATTAGAAACTGCAATGGTTATTAAAATTAAGACATACCCGGTGTCCATCCGGAACAGTATAAAATTTGATATCATCATGTGACAAAGAAACACAAGTCTGATTGAACATCGTTATCAGTTATGGTGAGTACAGCAAAGTTCATTTGAGGTTACAGATTACTTTGTCGTACTTTTATCGTGTTCAAATTGCCAAACGTAACCTTACGCAAGACCTATACAATCTGTAAGGCTTTCGTCAAAAGACAAAGGGTTCTATAGCAAGTCTCCAGGGATTTGAAAACTGTTGTAACAATTTGGAGAAGATTACTCCAACCAAAGGGAATGCCAAAAACCATGGTATCATTTAGTATAAAGGATAAAGATATCATCAACATACCTTGACAGCCGTAGAAAAAGACTCCGAACATGAGAACTATTACAGAAATGACCAATCTCACCATGTTTATAAGTCAGTTAACAATATTACCAGACACGGTATCTTCTACCTGTACAGTTATTGGATTATAACCGTTCTATAATGTCGTAGCACAGAAGTACGGACAGCTTCTCCAAGTATATTTGTCTTTTAGAATTTACCAAAACTATATGGGGGTTATTGTCACAGTTAATTTTCAAAATGGCAGTAAACAAACTCCTAGCTGTGCTTTTGTCCGTTTTGTGGACTTTAAATCAAATAAATATGCACACTGTAAACCACGCTCTGTTGCACGGTAACTCTCAGTATGTTTCCTTGTACACATCCATGTCAACCATAAGTCTCTCCCTTTGTCTGCCTGTCTATGTGCTGGTATAAACACACGACTACATATCCCTATGTCTGCCTGTCTATGTGCTGGTATAAACACACGAGTACATATCCCTATGTCTGCCTGTCTATGTGCTGGTATAAACACACGCGTACATATCCCTATGTCTGCCTGTCTATGTGCTGGTATAAACACACGAGTACATATCCCTATGTCTGCCTGTCTATGTGCTGGTATAAACACACGCGTACATATCCCCATCAGCGGCTGGAATGATAAACTAAGGGAGTGACTCATCTCCTCCTAAACTGTCCACCTTTTATTTCCCTGCTGCCATTCTTTCATATAGCTCAGTCACCTTTCATGCATTCTTGTCCTGTAACAATAATCATATGGATCGAATTACATAATACCCTAGACGTCAGCAGTGGACGCAGCTTACTCAAAACAGACTCATGTCTGCCCTTTAATGACCAACGCAGCGGAACACATTCAGTGGTGGTATACATAATCATTGAATGTTCATATATAACAATAGGCTTACTAAAGTGGACCAATACGTTATTTGTGGAGCCCGGCAACAGAATATATATATATATATATTTTTTTTTTTTTAAGGGAGATTGATTTCTATTACATCTAATTACGATCTGCAATGGAGAAACAACAATTAAGTTTTTCAAAACACTTTATGCCTTTCATACTGATGAGGTCCTGTTTCTTTTTTTTCTCCTCGTTGTAAATACGTCTCTCCCAGTCTACTAGTCAACTGCAGGGTGTTGTCATCTTTCAGACGGTGTAATATGATCAACACAACGTATGAATAATTTAGTATGTCTATAGAGTTGTTATTCCCAAAATAGTAGTCCAGTTTAGTAGCTTGAACACTTCTATTGTAACTGGCCTGATGCCGTAATATGCGATATTAGTCACTGACAGAGGTTAAGAAATCTCTGTACGTAAAAGTACACATTGCAAGGTTAAAAGTTGCCCTAAGAATTATACATTACAGACTTGGTAATTCCACGGCGTTTTGATCCTCGCAACGGTTTCAGAAATTTGGGCCCAGGAAGTAATTAATAGTAATATATAAAATAAATAGTAATATACAAATAAAATCCTTCCTTAGTATTTCTTCCCTTTTTCCCTACGTTCAGTTTCTCTTTGACTGATTGATAACCGTAATTCTTTGCTGGTGGTCCAATTACGAGTACTGTTTATAGTTGTAGCAATCATGTATTATTAGCAGTTTGAAGAGAACTATCAGAACCAAGTCGCTATTTTTCAATTGCGGCTCAACGTAAACTTCATAAAAGTGCATTAATACAGCTGGTCATTTACATCCATAGCACAGAAGGTGTCTTTTGCGAGGTACATGTAGTATTTACTAGTACTCAAAGGGGCGCATGTGCAGTAAGGCGTACTGTGTCCACAGCTAAGGGTATCTCCGTGACCTACATGTACGTACAAATAGCGTATCAGAGGTAAAGGATCAGCTCACTCTGTTAGGACATTTTACATAGCGTATCAGAAGTAGAGGATCGACATGGCTGACACACTTGATTTAGTTGGAGAATTGTTTTCATACCTCACTCTCCGATCTGTACTCATCTTCGTGACAGTATTCCTCGGCACTTATATTTCAACCCATGGGCGCCGAGAGAAGAGGCGGAACCTGCCCCCTGGGCCATGGGGGCTGCCAGTCCTCGGGTGTCTCCCGTTCCTGGGGTCAAAGGCACACGTAGTGTTAACAAACTGGTCCAAGAAGTACGGAGATGTGTTTCTGGTCAATTTTGGCATGGTCCCAGTAGTGGTTTTAAACGGGTTTGACACAATTAGGGACGCTCTCGTGAAGCAGGGGGCAGAGTTTGCTGGCAGGCCGGATCTGTTTACCTTTCGAACGCCGCCTCACATCCCCCTTACGTACAAAGGTCAGTCAGATATACAGTGTGTGTGGTGTTAGGTCACGTACGTTATGCTAAATAATAGAGAGTTTCGGCAGGACGTACGTTAAACGTGTACGTGTACGTATGAGTCATGTCGTTCACGTTCCCGTACAAGCAGTGCCCCACTTTTCGCTTCGGCTCTTCGTGAACGTGGTGTTTGTACTTGCAGCTGTGGTGGAGCTGTTACAGATTTTTTTAATGTACACCCTTCAACATTGGAGGAATATTTATATCAAAGAAACTAAACATAATAAATATATCATATCTCTATTTTTTATGTTGTGTAGTATAGGATAAAAAAAGCAAATAAAGAAGCTAACACTTGTATATGGTTGTAATTTTTTTTATTTACAACTTAGAATATTGTAACATTATTGAGCAATGACAATTTTAACAGTATTAACAAAACTGAAAAAGATTAAGAAATATGGGCCATTTTTGGAGCTTTTTGTTCAAAACAAAAATAAGAGCATTTTTTCCGTAGCAGCTTTTGACAATAAGTAACAGTAAAGAATAATAAAACAGTGCAATATGCTATAAATTGCATATGGTTGATATTTATTTATTTACAATATGGACACGACATAAAGTTCTACATAAAGATGAAAGTAATGAACAAAAAAAAATATTTAATTTGAAAGCTTAGCGATATAAATAACTTGATTTAATCACAGACATTTTCATTGTAGAAAGCAAGTGCTATATGGAGTCTCGGTCATTGCATACAAGAGGAATTTTTAAAGAAAACCCGACAACGCAAAGAGCACCTCTGTAAAAACTCTTTTTTTCCTTTCAATTAGCCATGTAACTCAAAATTATTGAGATAAAAAAATATATTGAATGGTTAATCTTGCTATGATAATAAAAATGATATAAAGAAAAATGATTTTTTTCTACACTTAAAGAGCAGTTAAAAACTCACGTTCTTCACTTACGTGTAAACAGCATCCTTCACGTTCAGAACGCCCGCAAGCAGAGATCGTACGTGAGGCTGTATGTCAAAAGTCGTAACGCAGAAGGCAACAACCTACTACGTCACACGTAAACGTACACACTTAACGTCCTGCCGAAACTCTCTTATTGTAAACTCTTTACGGGAGTAGGAATTACACTGCACCAATGACCCTGGTGTGACCTTGGGTATACATGGAGTGGCGTTGCGTTTTTTTTTTTTTTTTCATTTACCAAATGTTCATATGTCCAGTTGTGATATTAGAATGTCCAATAATTGTTGCAGACAGCAGGTGAACAATAGCATGGAGGGACGACAACTGGCTCTTTATTGCATGTTGCCCCCACCCCGTCCCCCAACCCCCCAAAAAGAGAAAATGTAAATGAAAATGAAATCGAAAAAATACAGTTTTGTACGGGGTTGATATAACTGCACTTTAGTGTGTATAAGCTAGGGCACAACACTGTAAATGTAAGAGTTCACACTTTGATTAATATATGAGTATTTTTTGTGTGTAACTTGTAAGGTTTGGTCTTCTAGAAATATTGTTTGATGTATCATAGCCTAAGCTTATTTGTGTACAGTATTTTAAACTGAAAACATCTTTATTTCTAGGCATCTTAATAGAAACGTACTCACAGCAACTTATAGAAAGACGCCGGTTTTCTCTGCGCGTTCTACGAGACCTTGGCGTTGGCAAAGTGAATCTCGAGAGCACAATAATCAACGCGGAGCTGAAGGAGTTGCACGAGGCCCTGGCATTGACCAATGGGACCCCCACGGATGTTTTCCCGATGTTACGCGATGCAATAGCCAACGTCACATTCGGCATAACATTTGGATCCCGCTTTCAACATAACGATCCAGAGTTTAGGGGTATTCTGGACACCGTAAACCAAAACTTTGAACTAAATCAAAAGTTGGCTTTGAACAACTTTGTACCATTTTTACAAAATTTTCCATCACCTTCCCTGAGACAGTACCAACGAAATCAAGAGTATTTGGTGGGGTTACTTTTGAAATGGAATGCAGAACAGAAACAAAAATATAACCCCAAGGAGACCAAGTCATTCGTGGATGCATACAGACATGAAGTGGTGAAACATGAGGCGAGATCTGAGGAAACAGCGGGTGGCGGAGTGAAGATGGTCGGACCCCCTACTAACCCAGAGACCATCTTTACTGAGAACCAGATCACCTCAGTTACTATTGACTTGTTCTTTGCAGGTGGCGAGACAGTCACCACTACCCTGAGATGGGGGTTGTTGTACATGGCGCTATACCCAGATGTACAGCGGAAAGTACAGCAGGAAATACGCTCTGTTCTTGGCGAGGACGAACAGCCGAGCATCACCCACAAAACCTCTCTGCCCTATACGGAGGCAACCATCATGGAAATACAGCGCTTGAACTACATAGTACCCCTAGGGGTGCCCCACTGTACGACGTCAGACGTCAGTTTCCATGGTTACTCCATTCCTCGTGACACCATGGTGATCGTTAACATGTGGTCCGTCATGATGGATCCCAGTCGCTGGCCAGAGCCTGAGATATTTGACCCTCGGAGACATATAGACCAGAATGGAAGGATTGTCAAAAAAGATGATTTCATTCCCTTTTCAATGGGTAATCATATTTTCCTATTATTTCATCCCTCTTTTTATAATCATTTTCTATTATTTTTTTTGTTACTGCAAAGTAAATAAAATCCATCGCACTACTAGTACAAGTTAAATTTCTATCAATCTATTCACTGATGTAGTCATGTTTATTTTTAGGGAAGCGTACGTGTCTGGGGGAGCAGTTAGGAAAGATGGAATTGTTCCTGTTCTTTACCTCCCTTATGCAAAGATTTAGTTTTCATCTACCAGAAAATACCCCCCCTCCAAAACTGGAGGGCAAGTTGGGGTCCACGTACGTCCCCCCGGATTACGAGCTCTGTGTCACCCTGTTGCCCTCTACCGGGTAATTGTCTGCGCCTGTGGGCTCTCATGGTGTCTGCGACTGCTGCCCTCTACCGGGTAATTGTCTGCTGCTGTAGACTCTCATGGTGTCTGCAACTGCTGCCTCTAACGGGAAATTGTCTGCGCCTGTAGACTCTCATAGTGTCTGCGACTGCTGCCATCTACCGGGAAATTATCTGTGTGCTCTCTTGGTATCTGTGCATCTTTCAACAATGACACATCGGTTATTTTTCTGTTATAATAAAATCCACGACCACTATATATATATCATTTTAACGTGTTGCGTTTTCATTAATATCTGTTTTTATATCTATATTTGGCTGCGGTCACTTGTTGGCTGGGTTTAATATCACAGTGTGACCCACAGTGTTTTATATCTATATTTGACTGCGGTCACTTGTTGGCTGGGTTTTATATCACAGTGTGACCCTCAGTGTTTCATTAAACAAACACAATCCTTTGCCTCATTAATTACGGGTAAAACCAGAAGTAAGCGTTTTAAGAAAATCACCTGGCCCCAGATGACATTACTGCTGCTGGGACTCACTAACGCTAAAACGGTGGTGATAGCTGTTTAGGTGGGAAGGGAGGTGTTGGAAAGTGAAATTACACTACAAAACACAGTTGCTTCATTGTACATCATCAGCTTCCCGATGTTCAATGTGACAGCACTATCTCATAAAATGGCTGCTTATTTCCATATTATCTTGGCAGTAAAGCCTAGATTATATTTTCACGGGCGCCGTGCGATGGAATTGTCCGGACGATTTTTTTTTTTTTGAAATATTAAGGGGCTACGCCGCGTATGTCTACATTATATGGCCTTAAATCAGTACGATTCCGTGCGATTTCGTACGGCCACCGTCTACCTCCGCTCATACGCCGTACGAAAAGGGTAAAACGGACAGTGTACGTGCGCCGTACGGGCATCGCATTTCAAATGTAATCTAGGCTTTAATGAAAAAAGTCTAACGTAACCAACCCCGTTAACACGTGCAGACGCGCGTGGGTTGTAAGTCATTAAAGCAACGAAGGGAGTTTGTGCTTTAACAAGTTTGTTCTTATTACACTAAACTTAACTTAGTATTTCGTATAAAAGAAATGAAAATAGGCTATTTTGCCAAATGTAGGCCTTTTTAAATTTCTAACGCCCTTAAGGCGCCATCTGTTTTCCTTTGTGATAAAAATATATTTCTGTAAATGTCAAAATTAAGACAGGTGAACCAATTCATGGTTCAACTTGCTGATTTCCCGTCATTTCATATAGTCGGTGGTAGTTTATATTAGTATGTAGTAGTTATACTTAGTGTTTCTGCTATATCGCCCCCTAAGCATCCCAATACCGACGCTTAGTCTTATCAAACGAGTGTGGCAGTTGACATTTGAAGAATTTAAGATTTTCCTGTCATTCTTGACAACCCATATTAACGTTTGCGAAATGTTTCTGATGATTTATGGATTTAGATTTATAGAGCCCTTACCGTACTTGTAGGGGGTTTTGTCAGGTAAGACAGGTGATATTAAAAGATCATCTCCGAGGAAGATGAAGTATTGATCCGCTATATAGAAATGCAATATTCCACAGTTCAACTTATCGGGAAAGAAAAGGCTGAGATTATCGCTGCTTTCTCTGACGACTAACAAATATTTTGGATATATTCAAGAGCTCCAAGGGGCCTATATGGTACGTAGAGTCCGTAATTTTTGTCTGTGTGGCTCCTGACACCCGCTGTATTGTCTATGTCATAAAAAGTAAATCATTTAATTATGATATTGACAAGTGTTATATCAATTGAGAATGTTGGTTAGAATACACACATTGGTAGAGTTGACTACAACTGGTACTGTCTAGAACACAGGACAAATTGAAAACGCTAAGCATGTAATTCCAGAGATCAATGGAGAGTAGTAGACATGTCTTCGCGTCTTGAAGATAACGCTGCGTGTTTGAAAATATGCTATGGCAGCGTCTACGTCGTTACTAAGCCGTATTCTGTGTAGTGCTGAAATGGCGTTTCAGTAAACTACCCATGTATGTTTCTTGTCATATCTCAACTGTATAAGCTTGAACAAAAACAGCAAATCTAAGTGTACGTATATGTAAAGGATTGGGCTATGTACCGTTTATATAACAGACACCTTGTGCGCAGACTACTTTTTTTTCAATATGTCCATGCTGGCAGCAGACGCTTCAATATCATTTATCTATTTACTGAGATAGTGTGGAACACATTTATGTGAAAACAGTGGCGCTTGAAAAATCTTCATGATAAACCATAAGATGGGGCGCACATGTTACCATCAACGCGATCTGTTCTTTCTCTTGTAAGCTTTAAAATGGTTTCACCTTTCCAATTTTCCCTCTGTAAATGATCGTGTTTATTCTATCATGGGGGGAGATATATTTATACCTGTGAACGCACACAAGGTAACATACACATACACGCACAAAAACACATACACACGCACACACACACACACACACACACACACACATGAATTTGATGACATATGCCATGGCCAGTGTTGTAATGAAGATACTCGTTAACGTTGCCGTACAATGTGCTGCCGTCACAAAATCGATATTATGACAGCTCCATATCAATGGCAAGCGCGGAATCTGTCTAATAAGTCTGTCCTTGGCTGAAATGGCTCATTAAGTCTGACTTATTTCATCAGAATATCCAAAACATTTTCCCTAGCTTGTGCGTTGAACTTTATTTCAGTTCAGAATAATAGATATACGTACAAGTAAGTGTCCAGATATGATAGCGGATCTCAGGGACTGCACAGAGGCGGCCATGAAAACGTAGTTTAGACGTCATTAAAACACAAACTGCAGGCTCCGTTCAACCTCAGTTTTAATTTATTTCTCTCTTTTAAAAGTGTACAAAAAACTTTAGAAATATCTTCATGTGCCAACATGTCCTGCAAATCAACCAATTATTCCCAGTTTAAACATTGAAAACGCGAAAAAGAAAAAAAAACCTCCAACAAAAGCACTTGAAAGTTCTTGAAATTTACGGAAAGACCTGTACGGCCGATTTCATAAAGGAGGTTTAAAGTTAAACCTGGTCTAAAGTGAGTTTACACCAGGTTTAGGAATTGCCTGCATTTCACAAAGGAGGCTTTAGTATTGGACCAGTGGTCTAGTAAAAACTGGCTTAACATCATTCTAAACCTGGTCTAGACAGGTTAGTGTTTCATAATTGAGGTCTAAGTTTTTGAAACCCGGATTATGGACTCGGACCAAGTCTAAAAATAAACCTGGTCAGACCCAGGTTTAACTCTGTAGCTTGGAAAAAAGATGGCTGACGTAGACTTGCGTGATATTCGAGCACTTAACGATTTGGACGCAAGAAGACACCCCGAGCGTCGCCGACGCATTTTTCGAGCAAGGGTTAATTATTTTGATTTCTATGATGAAAAAGATTTCAAAATCAGGTTCAGAATTTCTAAAGAAATAGCACGTGAGGTCATAGCACTGATAGAGGATCGATTAGCACCCTATATATTGAGAAATCGCAACATTTCNAGATAACTGGGCAGTCATGTAGACGTCTAGTGTACTTGTAGTACGGAAAGACATAGCGTTCTAATAGGTAACGGGGCAGTCATGTTGAAACTAAGTGTAGGAACGGATCGAACAATTACGCGTGAGTTGGAGGAGATTGCTTTATCTTTGCGTAAAGAGCACATTTCAACTCCACTTCCAACACAAAGTAAAATCCCAATAACGCATAACGTTATACATCAAATGACAAGAACTGAAAGGCCTAATATTTTGTAAATCGAGAGAGAGAGAGAGAGAGAGAGAGAGAGAGAGATGTTTATAAAGCTGCAATATGAATTGTAATGAATTAAAAGCGCAATGTATGCAAACCATGAACGTGAAACAATACAGCCTTCTCTGTAGACTTACGTACATACGTGTAGTAGTCAATAATAGGGTCAATTCACCAATGTTATGATCTTTTTTTTTTCAATTTCCAGAGCAACATGTCCAGAAACAGCAGGATTCATCTCCACCGCTTAGTCAAAGATCCGTCCCCTCCCGTAAACCCTGCAATTCTAGTGAGCCACCCTAACGCTACCAGCATGGGAGTGGACAACCCAGTGTTCATTTTTGACGAGGTCGACAACCCCCGTCTGCCGTCTAAAGCCACCATGCGTAGCTCCGTGTCCGGCAGCTCCACGCTGTCTATGGCTGACGGCTTGCCCAACTTGTTCAACATGAGTGAGAGTACGATAAGTGGACACGTGTCGCCACGTCGTGGAACATCGGGAGGAGATAGCCTCTTTGTGCCCGGGGTCAGGTCAGTTTGACTCTGTACACAACTAATAATTAATAATTAAGGTATGACCGGAAATACGTTTAGAAATGAGCATGTACATGCTATTCCATTTTTGCGAGTGTAAACTATTGGGAGTGTTATGAACTCCTTATGTCCCAGAAGTAGTCACTTTTGAGGCCGTTAACTTCAAATTCTTTGCCAATCTGCCATGATTTGAACATTTTGACTGAAACTCTTTTTTCCTATTAATGTGGAGAGTTGACCAGCCAATAGGAGCAGTCAAATTAATGACTACTCTCTTGTGACCTTGGCCGATACTGTCATAGGGTAGCTTGAAGAGCGCGAGTGAGTACTGGTACAACACCAAGACCCTCAAATACACCAAGGCCACAGTAGCTTTATTACCGGCATTATAGGCCTTCCTATTGGTTAAAAGGTATTAATTGTTCCGAAAAGACAGAGTTTTGCTTTTAACTGACGGCTTACTAATATCTGACACATTAAAGGGATAATAACTCTTCGTTTGGGCCAAAAAAATGAATTTTCCTGGAGTAAACAACAATTTTCCCACACTTACCAATGGTTAATGAATCCATTTTTACATTCAAAATTAGACCCTGGTTTTTTTTTCTAAAAAAGTTTTTTTTTTTTTTGTTAAAATCTCTTAAGAGATTTTAACTGAGTATAGCCATCAATGGAGGTCACGTGGTCTAAAGACAAGCTCAGATATCAGAATAATAGCTATAACTGCCGTTTTTGTGGTAAAACAGAATATATATTTCTATGAGTTATTCACAATGTTTTTATTGTGAAATATAGTTCTCATATGAAGAGTTATTATCCCTTTAAGTTTGGTTAACGGCCATCTATATTTATTAATTTATACTTTTTTAGCAAAATCTATAAACATAAATTACACTCGCAAAAATGGAAATGTTTATGTTTAATGCTTTAAAACGATATCGAGAGACACCTTATATACTAAACGGTGTAATGTGACATGGAGCCCCCCACAATTGAGTCTGCTTCCCATTCATTTGTACATGTAATCCTCACCCTCGATTTGGCTCACTTAGGTCCGACTAACCCTATCCATTATACCTGTTGCTAAATGCAGGATGGACTTTCTCTTACATGGATCTTCAGTTTCGCTACACCGGCATACTCGGACTAGAAA